CCCAAAACCAGCCCGGCTCGTCCCCACGCCCGACCTCATCCCAAAACCAGCCCGGCTCGTCCCTACCTCGACTTGTCAGTCTTTTCTCCCACCTATCCGCTCCTCCCACCTCACTGACCAACCCCTACCTCTGACCTACCAGCCTCATCCCCGCCTCCTTGACCTGTCCGTCCCCTCTCCACCTATCTGCTCCCTTATCCATTTTCCATCTGCCTCCTCTGTCTATTTATTTCAGAATCCTTTCCCCTCCTCCATTTCTGAAGAAGGGTCCAGGCCCGAAACGTCAGCCTTCCTGCTCCTCTGATGCTGCTTGGCCTGCTGTGTTCATCCAGCTCTACACTTTGTTACACATTGCAACTCATTCCGCTTGGGAACCCTGCAGCCCAATGGTATCAATGTGGACTTCACAAGCTTCAAAATCTCCCCTCCCCCTACCGCATCCCAAAACCAGCCCAGCTCGTCCCCGCCTCCCTAACCTGTTCTTCCTCCCACCTATCCCCTCCTCCCACCTCAAGCCGCACCCCCATCTCCTACCGACTAACCTCATCCCGCCCCCTTGACTTGTCCGTCCTCCCTGGACTGACCTATCCCCTCCCTACGTCCCCACCTACACTCACCTTTACTGGCTCCATCCCCGCCTCTTCGACCTGTCTGTTTCCTCTCCACCTATCTTCTCGACTATCCATCTTCTATCCGCCTCCCCCTCTCTCCCTATTTATTTCAGAACCGCCTTCCCCTCCCCCATTTCTGAAGAAGGGTCTAGGCCCGAAATGTCAGCCTTCCTGCTCCTCTGATGCTGCTTGGCCTGCTGTGTTCATCCAGCTCTGCACCTTGTTACCTCTACACTTTGTTATCTCAGATTCTCCAGTTCCTACTATCTCTAAACCCATTAATAACTATTCACCCTCCTAGCCCGATCGTTATCAAATCCTTTGTCTATCCAACTGCTCTGATCTCTCACACACACACTTGCTCTTATCTCTCTTCGGACAGTATCCTTTATCCTATCATTTGCTCCCTACCCCTTCCTCCCTCCCTATTTTCTGCATTTAAACTGACATTTTCCCAGCTACGACCAGTTCTGAGGAAGGGAAATGTTAACTCTGATTTTTTTCTTCACAGATGCTGCCAGACCTGCTGAGCTTTTTCTGCAACTTCTGTTTTTGTTCCCGATTTACAGCATCCGCAGTTCTTTCGGTTTTTATTAGTGAACCGGACCTGTTTTTACCACGACTGGTACCATCGTAACATTGCTGACATTAGCTTTAAACTGCAGATTTTGTTTCACATCAATAACACCCAGTGGAGTACTGGGTCTGAACCCACGTCCTCCAGACCATCAGCCTTAGTCTCAGGATTACCAGTCCAGTGACATCACCACTAGAGCAGCATCTCTGTACCAGAACGGAGGGCTGAATGACCTCCTTTCCTCTTTGTAGCTTCACGGACCAAGGTCACACAACACTTCAAGGGTTAAGTCCCCACGTTACCTTGTTGTTGTTATCCTGGATTGTGAACTTCATTCCAGCCAATATCAGAGACTTCTTACTCTCCAGTTGCTGGGCTGTAAGGATGTAGATGGGAGATAATTAATGACCTGCCTGGGTCGGTCACCTCTTAATATCTCCCAAACACGTGTTTTTACTCATTCCTCCTGACTTTTGACCTGAATTTGTAACAGGCACAAAACACAATTCAGTCAGTCAGTCGTAAACCTACATGACCTCCCTGCAGTAATTGCACTCTGCCTCACCAGAGGCATGCACCTATTCTGACCTCCTTCACACAGCACCCTCCAACAGCATGCACTGACCCCCACCCACCCGATAGCACCGTGGTGCTCCTGCAGCACTGATCCCCCAGATAGCGCTGTGTTCCCGAGGTGCTGATCCCCACCCCCACAATAGCGCGGGGCTCCCGCAGCGCTGTACTGTACGAGATTCTAGAGCATATGCGCAGTTTGTCTGAAGTGGGAGTTGAACCAGTGAACTCCTGGCTCTAAGCAGAGACTGCCTGTTACCAGAGGGGTGGGAGGGGGGATTCTCGTCTGACCGGCAGTTACACACACAGTGAGTGCAGCATCACGTACAGGCAGACTGCATGCGGTATTACATACAGGCGGAATTGATGAGGTGTTTGATGACAGTCAGGGTCCCGATGCGGGTCCGTTCGTTGTGAACCTCTAACTTCTGCAGGAGGAAGGCCATCAACCGGTCAGTGTAGGCACGAGCTGTGAGGGGGACACACAGAGAGAGAGAGAGACAGAGACAGAGACAGAGAAATCATCAAGTCAGTGCTGCCTTGTGCACTCAGTGCTCAGTCCCCTCTCAAGCTCACTCCCAGTTCAGAGCCTCTGGCAGATTCCGGACCACCCTCTCATCTTCAGCTCGCTGCTTGGTGGGGGGTGTCAGGCTGTTACTGGACTTACCAGTCCACCACCAGGAGGACACAGCCCCCATCTCTGATCCGAGTCTATGTTGACTCATTGATAAGAGACAGATCACAGCTCAAATCAATATCATCATCCCAGGGGCAACGGCAATCACAGAATACCTACAGCGTGGAAGCAGGCCATTCGGGCCATCGAAACCCCCACCAAGCCTCCAAAGAGCATCCCACCCAGATCCACACCTCAACCCTATCCCTGTAACCCTGCACTTACCTATGGCTAATCCATCCAGCCTACACAGCCCTGGATATTGTGGGCAATTTAGCCTGGCCAATCCACCCTAACCTGCACATCTTTGGACTGTGGGAGGAAACAGGAACACCCAGATGAAATCCACACAGGCAGTGGAAAAAGTGCCAACTCCACACAGACTGTTGTCCGAGGGTGGAATCGAACCTGGGTCCCTGGCACTGACAGGCACAGTGCTACCCACTGAGCCAAAGCCGCAATGACAGAACTAGAACAGTGATTGATTCTCATGGGGCCAGCGTTTATTGCCCGTCCCTAGTTGCCCTTGAGAAGGTGGTGGTGAGCTGCCTTCTTGAACCGCTGCAGTCCATGTGCTGTGGGTTGGCCCACATTGCCCTGAGGGAGGGAATTCCAGGATTTTGACCCAGTGACAGTGAAGGAACAGCGATATATTTCCAAGTCAGAATGGTGAGTGGCTTGGAGGGGAAACTGAAGATGGTGGTGTTCCCATGGATCTGCTGCCCTTGTCCTTCTAGATGGAAGTGGTTGTGGGTCTGGAAGGTGCTGTCTGAGGATCTTTGGTGAATTTCTGCAGTGCATCTTGTAGATAGTACACACTGCTGCTGAGTGTTGGTGGTGGAGGGAGTGGATGCTTGTGGATGTGGTGCCAATCTAGTGGGCTGCTTTGTCCTGGATGGTGTCAAGCTTCTTGAGTGTTGTTGGGGCTGCACCCATCCAGGCAAGTGGGGAGTATTCCATCACACTCCTGATTTGTGCCTTGTAGATGGTGGACAGGTTTTGAAGAGTCAGAAGGTGAGCTACTCGCCGCAGTATTCCCAGCTTCTGGCCTGCTCTTGTAGCCACTGTGTTTATGTGGTGAGTCCAGTTGAGTTTCTGTCAATGATGACATGCAGGATGTTGATAGTGGGGGATTCTGTGATGGCAACACCATTGAACGTCAAGGGACAATGGTTAGATTGTCTCTTATTGGTTATGGTCATTGCCTGGCATTTCTGCTTTTTGCATTTAGATAGCACCTTTCCTGACCTCATGACATTCCAAAGTGGGTCACAGCCAAAACACCTTCCAAGTGGAGTTGTTGTTGTAACATAAGGGATGTGGCAACGAATTTGTGCCCAGCAAGCTCCCACATATTTTTAGCCAGCTGTTTAGGGATAAATACTGAAGGCGACCCTGAAAAGAACTCATTTTTAAGATCATGAGCATCAGATCCTTCACATCCACCTGCAAGGGTGGGGGGCAGCACCACCCTCCGAGTTTCAGTGGGCCCAGGAGTGGTTGCTGTGCCCTGCGCAAGTTGACCCTTACCCAGCACGGTGAAACAGCGGAGAGCTTCATTGTGATTCCTGACTGCCGTATGGTTGCTGTAGTCCAGGGGAGTACACACCTGTAAGAGAGAAACAGGACCTAGTGGTGCCTCTGTGGTGCCACTGTCTCGGGGGTGGTGTAGGGTGTTAAAATTGGGCCAGGAAGGAGCAGAGAGAGAACACACAACACCCAGACAATCACAGGGAGGTGAATAACCTTCACGCGCTCATTATTTCCCTAACGGCCAGTCTGCACAGACCCATTAGCTTGTAAGGTGCCACACTGACGTTTAGGGCTGAGCTGCATTAACACAAGGAACAGTGACCACAGGGAACTCCTGTGTTGAATTATCCTGAAACTAGGGGAGTCTTTAGCTCCCTGTTGCTTCCTCCATGGCAACAGCCAGCATGCTTAACATATGAGGAATGTTTGAGGACACTGGGTCTATGCTAGATGGAGTTTAGAAGGATGAGGGGGGAATCTAATTGAAACTTACAGAATACTGAATGGCCTGGACAGAGTGGATGTTGGGAAGATGTTTCCATTGGTAGGAGAGACTAGAACCCGAGGGCACAGCCTTAGAGTAAAGGGAAGACCTTTTAGAGCGGAGATAAGGAGAAACTTCTTCAGCCAGAAAGTGGTGAATCTATGGAATTCACTGCCACAGAAGGCTGTGGAGGCCAGGTCATTGAGTACATTTAAGACTAAGATAGATAGGTTCTTGATTATCAAGGGTTACGGGGTGAAAGTGGGAGAATGGGGTTGAGGAACTTATCAGCCATGATTGAATGGCGGAGCAGAGCCGATGGGCCGAATGGCCTAATTTCCGCGCCTACATCTTATGGTTGTATGCCAGCCAATGAGCATTCTTTCCCCGGAGTATAAATTGTTGTGCTCGTTTGAAATTTCCATTTTTGCATTTATCCTCGTGAGCACTGATTAAATAGGTTTTCACAATAAGCTGCTCATTGCAGCGAGATTGAAAGACATCGTCCCTTCAAGTGTGTGCTCGGAGCTCGAGTCTAACTTGGACAGACAGGCTCAAGGTGCTCTCTGTCTGACAGGAGCAGACCCAGGCAGCAATCTAACAAATGCACCCAAGGACGGGGCTGATGTAGAGATCTCCTCCCATTCAAACCTAGAGAAATTAATATCAGACTTAAATCCAGCACTGGTCAGGTCAGACAGGAAGCATCAGAGGAGCACTGTGCTAATCTCTGACTCCAGCATCTGCAATTCTTACTATCTCTGAGGTCAAGGCCAAATCATAGAATCCCTACAGTGTGGAAACAGGCCCTTCGTCCCAACAAGTCCACACCGACCCTCAGACCATCCCACCCAGACCTAACCCCCCCATAACACACCTAATCTACACATCCCTGAACACTACGGGCAATTTAGCATGGCCAATCCACCTAGCCTGCACATCTTTGGACTGTGGGAGGAAACCGGAGCACCCGGAGGAAACCCACGCAGACAAGGGGAGAATGTGCAAACTCCACACAGACAGTACCCCCCGAGGGTGGAATTGAACCCGGGTCCCTGGTGCTGAGGCAGCAATGCTAACCACTGAGCCACCGTGCCACCCCAAATCGTTCACAGTGTAATTCTGGACACCACGCTGTCGGAGGAACATCCAATCCTCAGAGAAGGTGCAGTAGAGATTTACCGGAATATTCCAGGGATGGGGCAACTGGGGGAGATGACGACAGTGGTAATGACATTGGAGCCCTCATCCAGAGGCACATCCTGATGCTCTGGGATCGCAGGTTCAAACCCCACCACAGCAGAGAATTCCAGGATTTTGACCCATCGACAGTGAAGGAACGGCAATATATTTCCAAGTCAGGATGGTGAGTGGCTTGGAGGGGAAGTGTTCCCATGTATCTGCTGCCCTTGTCCTTCTCGATGGAAGTGGCCATGCGTTTGGAAGGTGCTGTCTGAGGATCTTTGGTGAACTTCTGCCGTGCATCTTGTAGATAGTACACACTGCTGCTACTGAGCGTCGGTAGTGGAGGGAGTGGAGTGGAGTGGAGTGGATACTGAAGGTGGAGAACCAGGTACAAATCAAGCAGTTACTTTGACCTTTTGAGCCAGAGATGGATGTATTTACATTGGGCAAAGCCAGAAAGGCCTGGGAGTGGGTCGAGGGGAGGAGGGGGGTGTGGGGAAGGAAAGGGTCAATAGGTGACTAAATAGCATTGGAGACACATATCACTTGTGATCTTGATCCTATCACACAGCAACATTCAGCCTCGTTATACAGTCTGAGGCAGCAGACAGAATGAGGCACATCATCACCAGATCAAATAAAACACAGTTGGAGAATGCCATTCATACAGGTCCTCTCTGTCCCTGCCCCTTACCGGGGGGTGGGGTGGGAGTAATATTTACAGCCTCTCCCTGGCCCTTACCTGGAGGACCGGGGTGAGGGGCGGGGGGGGGGGGTGTAATATTTAGAGTGCCTCTCCCTGCCCTTTACCTGGGGAGACGGTCTATTATTTACAGCCTCTCCCTGGCCCTTACCTGGAGGGCTGGGGGCGGGGGTGGGGGGGTGGTGATGTAATATTTAGAGTGCCTCTCCCTGCCCTTTACCTGCGTGTACGGTCTATTATTTACAGCCTCTCCCTGCCCCTTACCTGGAGGGGGTGGGGGGGGGTGTAATATTTAGAGTGCCTTTCCCTGCCGGGACAGTCTATTATTTACAGCCTCTCCCTGGCCCTTACCTGGGGGTGTAATATGCTGAGCAGATTGTCGATTTGTGTCTCCAGCACTCGGCTGCCCATATCCACTGCAGCATCCAGCACATGGCACAGGCTCTGGAAATCAAACACAGTTTATTCCATTTTCCAGGATCACCATAAACTCCACTGCTCATTTTTTTAAAATTCACGCGTCAAATGTGGGCTTCACTGGCTGGGGCAGCATTTCTTGCCTATCTCTAATTGTCCTCCAGAAGTTGGAACTACCACAGTCTGCGGGATACAGGGGACTGCACGATGCATTTTGAAAGTTGGTTGATACATTTTCTAAACGGTGGTGTTCCCAGAGACCTTCTGGATGGAAGTGGTCGTGGGTTTGGAAGGTGCTGTCTGAGGATCTTTGGTGAATTCCTGCAGTGCATCTTGTAGATAGTACACACTGCTGCTACTGAGCGTCGGTGGTGGAAGGAGTGGGTGTTTGTGGATGTAGCGCCAATCAAGCAGCTGCTTTGTCCTGGATGGTGTCAAGCTTCTTGAGTGTTGTTGGGGCTGCACCCATCCAGGCAAGTGGGGAGTGTGCCTTGTGGACAGGCTTTGTAGAGTTAGGAGGGGAGTTACTTGCCACAGTACTCCTAGCCTCTGACCTAATCGATTGGCCACTGTCTTTATACGGTGAGTGCAGTTAGGTTCCTGGTCAACAACAACCACCAGGATGTTGATAGAGGGCGATTTAGTGATGATAATGTCATTGCATATTAAATGAACAGTTGCTTAGTTTGTCTCTTATTAGAGATGGTCACTGCTTGACATTTGTGTGGTGCAAATGTTACTTCTCACTTGTCAACCTGGATGTTGTCCTGATCTTGTTGCATTTGAACATGGACTGCTTCAGTATCTGAGGAGTCACGAATGGTGCTGAACATTGTGCAATCATCGGCAAACATTCCCAATTCTGACCTTATGATGGAGGGAAGGTCATTGATGAAGCAGCTGAAGATGGTTGGGCAGAGGACACTACCCTGAGGAACTCCTGCAGAGATGTCCTGGAGCTGAGATGACTGACAACCACAACCATTTTCCTACGTGTCAGGTATGACTCCAACCACCGGAGAGTTTGTCTCCGGATTCCTATTGATTCCAGCTTTGCTCAGGCTCCTTGATGCCCCACACTCACAAGTGAAGCTTGATAGAACCTTCCATCACTTTACTGATGATCGAGAGGAGATTAATGCGGCGGTAACTGGCCAGGTTGCATTTGTCCTGCTTTGTGTGTGCAGGACATACTTGGGCAATTTTCCACATTGGCGGTAGATACCAATGCTGTAACTGTACAGGAGCAGCTTGGCTCGGGGAGCGGCAAGTTCTGGAGCACAAGTCTTTAGTATTATTGTCAGAATGTTGTCAGGGCCAGTAGCCTTTGCAGTATCCAGTGTTTCTTGATATCACGTGGAGCGAATCGAATTGGCTGAAGACTGGTATCTGTAAGGTCAGGGACCACTGAAGGAGGCCGAGATGTATCATCCACTCGGCACACCTGGCTGAAGATCGCTGTGAATGCTTCAGCCTTATCTTTTGCCCTGATGTGCTGGGCTCCTCCATCATTGAGGATAGGGATATTCATAGAAACTTTAGGCCATTAGCTTAACATCAGGCATGGGGAAGTTAGAGCTATTAAGGTTAGGAAAATTCAAGGTATAGTCAATATGGTTTGGTCAAATGGAAGTCACATTTACCTGATTTATTGGACCTCTCAGTGAGTAAAGTACTGTGGATAAAGGGGAACCAGTGAATGTACTGTATTTAGAATTCCAGAAGGCATTTAATAAGGCATTTAAGATTATTGAGCAAAATAAAACATGTTGTAGAGGGTAACATATTGTTAGAGAAGCCTGATTTTTTTTGGGGACTATAACCTGAAATGGAAGTTAGGCTGCTATAAGTAACCATTTTGCAACTTGAAAATCTTGTTGTGTGTTGTTGAGCTCTGCAGTACAACGTTAGTTCTTTTAGAAGTACGGAAAGACTGATCAGTACCAAACATCTTCTGAATTGGGGAAAACCTGCCTGGCGACTGCCCCCTGGTTAAACTGTAATGTGTTCAAAAGCCGCAAGTGCTAATAGCAGCAAAAAAAAAAGGAAAACATTGAGCTTGCAGACAGAAAACATCACACTCCCTCTCTCTCCTGACCTCCCCCCGGCACAGTGGAGAAGACAACAGGAAACCTAAGAAAGCTTAAAAGAGAAATTTGATATAATTCGAGAGAAGACCAATGCTCACCTGATCAACCATTGAATCAAAGGATGACTGTCGGTCTACAGTCAACAGCATTGCAAAAAAAAAATCAAAAGGACTGTGAGGAAAATAACTTTCCACCTTGTCGTCTGATTTTGATCTTTGGAATTTTGTTTACCCTGTCTATATTTGTTTCTCCACAGTATATCGTACATTACCTTTATCATGTGTGTGCTAGAGAGAGAGAGCGCGTGTGTGGGGTTGGAGGGGGTCATAGATTAAATTGCAAAAATAAGAAATCCACTCTTTTCACTGCCTTTGTTAAAGTTTGGGACTATAAACAGAGTGATCTTCCTGTACATAAAACCTGGTGTGAAATGTGGCTATCCTGGGTCATTGTGGTGTCGTCTTTGCGGCACTTTGTGCAACAGAGGGGATACAATTATAGTCTCACTCTTCCCAGCTGGTCATGACAATTGACAAATAGACAGTCAGAACCCCCCAACATTTTTCTGGCTTGTCGGGGTAGTGGTGTGCGTGTGATGTTGTGCGGAAGAGAGAGAGAGAGAGAGAGATGAGACAAGGATGCTTTCCAGCTTTCCACCTGCAAGTTCTGGATGTTTTTGATTTCCTACTGCTGTTACAGTGGGAGAACACAACTTGGATCCCCTCTGCAAGGGATTCTGTTAAAAATAAACTCATCCAAGTTTGGGTCCTGGGTCAGTACCTACCTGCGTAATGTGGAAGTGCTCAGAATGTTTCTTGTAGAGAGACAGGATGCCGGGGATTAGTTTGGGCAGTTGTTCCTCCAGTTTGTCAGGAGGCAGCAGGTACGACATGTGGCCAACAGCATCCACCACACTGGCCCTCAGCTGGAGAGAGAAACAAGAGTGCAAACATTCTCCACACAACAGGACATACATGACAGGTACTGCATGGACTGAAGCTCAGTGCGGAGGGATCAAAGCTTGGCCACTGCATCTCTAGCAACATGCATCAGAGTAAAGCTTCCTCTACACTGTCTCTCCCCACCACCATCCTCGCCCTCGCACCCCCCGCCTGCTGCCCCCTCCCCAAACAGGGACAGCACGGGGTTAGATACAGGGTAAAGCTCCTTCTACACTGTTCTCCCATCAAACACTCCCGGGGACAGGGACAGCACAGGGTTAGATACAGAGTAAAGCTCCCTCTGCACTGCCCGTCAAACCCTCATACAGGTGAAGATGTGGGGTGGGTAGATTAGTAAGTTTGCAGACGATACGATAATTAGCCACATGGCTGAAAGTGAGGAAGGTGACACGAGGTTAGGGAAGGTTAAACGGATTGGTCAGATAGGCAAATCAGCCAAGACCTTCCTCCCTAGAACTGGAAGAATTGTATCCTTCACTTTTTTTGTGAAATTGGAATTTCAGGAATGATAGGTTTGACTAACAAACGGGTCTTTTGATTCCTTTGTCGGTTTTTTTGGAACAATCTCCCAGTCCCTGCCTGGACATTCTTCAAGCATTTCCACGTTTCCTGTTGAATCTGCTTCTTCTACCCTTTCTGACACAACGAGTTGTGTCATTGGACTACCAACCCAGAACAACAGGACCACGATCTGGAAAACTTGGTTCAAATCCCACCACAGCAGAATCCTGAAGTCAATAAATATCTGCTGCCAATCTCATTATTAAACTCGATAAAGATTTGATCAAATGACAACCATGAAACCACTGCTGATTGTCGAACCACCTGGTTCACTAAC